GATGGGTGGATAGAGGGGAAGCACATGGGTGGATAGAGGGGAAACAGATGGGTCGATAGAGGGGAAACACATGGGTGGTTAGAGGGGAAGCACATGGGTGGATATAAGAGAAATACCTTGGTGGATAGAGGGTAAGCACACGGATGGACAGAAGAGAATCACATCGGGGTATAGAGGGGAAACAGATGAGTAGATAGAGGGGAAACACATGGGTGGATAGAGGGGAAACACATGGGTGGATAGAGGGGAACACATGGGTGGATAGAGGGGAAACAGATGGGTGGATAGAGGGGAAACACACGGATGGACAGAAGAGAATCACGTGAACGGATAGAAGAAAAATACGTGGATGGAAAGAGGAAATATACGAACCTACAGGGAAAGGGTAGATACGTCAACTTTGAAAGAGGTGACGTCGATTAATGCCCAGATAAAGGTGAATAGTGTGAAAGTGAATATATTATAGATACACAACTACCCTGGTAAGATGGGTAGATGAAAAGATTCATGGACAGAAAGGTGAAAATCCGATCTCAACCGGATTGGGGAAATGATGGACAGAGCGATGAGATTAACAGCTTAGGTTATTATGAAAGGATCAACAGACACTAGACAGAAGGGATATCCCAGAGATTGACAGATGAAGGATGAAGATGTTTGGTAGCGACGGAGATCAGGGAAGACGAAGGATGAAAGTAGGAAAGGATACTAGGATGCAGAGTAAGAACAGATGCAAGAAGATCGATAGATGATTGAAATAGAGAGCGAGAACGCTAGATATTACATAAAAGATCAACATTTTATTGACTGATGCGTGCAGTGGGTCATCACAGGTTTGCATCCAGTACCTGGGGAGCTCTCTCTCTCTCTACTTCCCAGCACATCCTGCTGAGCAGATTGGTTACTTCCGCCCCACAACCCTCTGCCCTTGTTACATTCAGACTCACGTACTAATCAGGCTTAAGGCCAGCAACAGCCCGGGCTTCACCCCCGAAATATAGGACGTGTTGTATGTCTGTGTGCGAAGAATAACTGCTGTTTATGACAGAATTAACACAGAGATCGATTGAGTCTCCCAGGACAGCTCGGAGAATTCTGGAGGAGGATTTATTGGGACATTCCTGCTGGGGTCGATACTACATGTATGTGCTGGTATGGTGTCCTCATAGAAGATTAACTCACCGGCTTAATGACATAAATTACAGTTTATGGCCTCATAGGTTCGCATCTTATCTCCGCAATCAGAAAGGAACGTCTTTGGTCCCACGTGTCTTGCTTGGTGCACAGGTGCCTGGATGCTGGGCTGGAAGAACGTTGGGCTGCGGACCTTCATATCAGTGCTTGATGGGATTGGGTTGTATGATTGATGCGCTGGGATCTCTTCCTTCCTGACTAGCGGAGACGCTTGTCCACAAATAGAACACTGGGGGTGTTTACTTCTTATTTATGTCGCATTACGGTACTATTCATTATCAAATAAACCAGTTCCGTGACTTTAATTGAACTCGCATCCAAGCTTTGACCCAATTTGCACTCTGGTCTTTGTTTGCTTTGGATTTGTCAGACCTTATAGACAAATTTAAGAAGCACTATGCGTACTGAGATTCACCTTGTGTATACAGCTCCAGATCAGCCCAACATTGCATTTGACCGTTAGTCTGCTAGAGCTGGCAGATGATCATTACATCAGTGAAATAGGAATAATATGGAGGTGATGCTTGGGACACATTGATGAACGTACTTGCACCTGCAGCCAATTGTCCACAAAATGCATTACACTTTGAGAATGGGTGTCAAAAACCCCGAAGCTTGGTTATCGTCGGTTATACGATTCACAGCCTTATCAAATGGTTAAATGTATCACAGTTTAAGGTGAGGTGAAATTGGATTTCAGGTTATTGCACTTCTATAGCAAAGTGCATGCATATGTGTGCGTGAGTGTGAGTTTGAGTCCGTGTGCGTGTGTTGTTGTTTTTTATGTTATGCTTTTACTAGTCCGCAGTCATGTATGTTCATAGTGCTAGCCCACTGAGATACCACGCAGCAGTGTAACCCAAACGCCCCAAACAGACCCAGACTCTGACTAGTCTATGTGTCATCCCTTAATGCTGGGCTCCAGGCAGGGTAACAACATGTGTAATCTTTCAACGTTTTGGTTTGAAGCACAGCGAAGATCAAACCACCGGCCTATCCAAGCAGACGCTCTTTCCACTCATTATGGAGGCAGCTTCTGATATGAATTTAAATTTGTGAACTCAAGCTAACCTAACAGCACACTTTGGTATATTCTCACTATTCTAGTGCACCGAGATAAAACAAACACAATGCGCGCATGTGCAGTTACACAGCGAGAATCACTTTAGTCTGTAAAAAACATTCTCACAATTAAGTCCTCGCGGACATAAAGATTTCTTGCCGATAATAAAGGTCCGAACAATGTCAAGGTCACCAGAAGTTGCCTGGCTGTGGTTTGTAGTTGTAAATATCAATGAACGGTTAGAACAGGACTGTTATTCCTGTCACACCTAAAGTTAAGATAATATTAAACCCAAAGTCATCTGTTAATCGAAACCTAAGAAATGTTATTAACTCTTTTACTCTGTTTTATCAATCTGCACAAAATGCAAGCACCTTAGTGGCTGCTCTCAAAGCGAGTAGCCACCGCTGCCAGAGTTCCTCTAAGTCTACAGGTCGACCAGGAAAGAATGACGTACGCTGGTTCTACATGAACCGGGACATCCCAAGACGGTCGGCACTAACATCGATCCAGCAAACTGTACATACTATGTCTGATCCATTCAATTATCTTTTCGCGGGTTTGAGCGCGTCACTTCTGCAAATACTCTTCGAGCAGACGATATCGACTGGCATCATTAAATTTGCATGATGGAGTAGCGCTCGTTCAATCGGTGTGCAATCGCCTGATCGATTTGCCGAGAGCAACCTGTTAGATCGAAAATCAACAGCTAGTCGACCTGTTACTGTCTTCAGTGTTCTGTTAACTCTCGCGAGATTATACCTTGGTGGTTTTCAACCTACGGGTTTTGTCCTCTATACAGTATCCATCAGCGTCCACTGTAATGGTTCTATCTAAAGCACCGTCCCCATAATGGAGGCCACCGACCACAGACATCCCATTACGTTTTGCTATCCTGGCAGTGTATTCAATTTAATATCATCGATTATGAATGTATAGCCATGGATTAGCCCTGTCTTTGTCTGTGATATGTGTTTTGAGAAAACACAACGCCAGGAACATTTGTGCAATCTCATATCCCTTTGACTGACATGCTTGCGGTAGCCTGGCAGTTGGCAACAATAACCCGCAGCATTAAGATCTCAATCTCAGACGGATCCTGCAGTTCAGCTGGTGCAATCAAAATATAACTTTGGTCTAAGTGCTTTGAATAAGGCAACGATTTGATCATCCATCCCGAGTGAATAAAACTAGTCATTAAACTTAAAATATTTTGAATAAGGCAACGATTTGACCATCCATCCCGAGTAAACAACACGAGTCACGAAATTTCAAATATTTTCAGAATTGCAACAATTGGCCCACTCGTCCATTGTTAGAAAACTAACCTTGAAACGTTTATAAAACAAATATGTTTAAAAGGCAGCAATTTCTATCAGTAAGTTCAACTGGTGTATCTGTATTCAATCATGCAAAGTCCAGCTTTGATATAATCATACCATCAAATGCTACAGTTTGTAAAAGCCACAACTTTGGCATATAGCTACTGACAAGACTTGGATAACACGGACAACTGTGTTGCAGTATTATGCACACTACTCTCAAGCCCACAGCATACCCACAGGGCAACTCACACAGGCAATTAGGTACCCCTGCTACCTGCCGCCTGGCCCCATGGGAGGGCTAATTTCCTTGTTAGTGCAGAATGTCAAAGTTAGATGTGATTAGAGCACGAAGATGGTGTAGATAGTTGAACACTGATCGAACTGTTGATCCTGGCCCGTCTGATGAGTGGATCACGACCCAGCCAACAAAGAATTACTGTCAAATATATATATTTTATACCACGTGGTAGAGATATATGTAACACTTCAGTGTTATAAAAATAGGCAATTAACTCATTCAAGGATTAGTTTCCCATGTGTGGCCTAGAACACTACCAAGAAAAAATACTACCAAACGTATATACTTCTACCACGGAGACATATAAAATAGTTCAGTGTTATAAAAATATGTAATTACTGCACCCAAGGATTCAAAGATAGAGCGTGTCTAACTAACATCCCTGATTCGCCCTCTCAGATGTGAAAATAATAATACAGTTATTTGCAAGTTGGAAAGAAATATCCATGACGTGTCCTCGTCAATCCAACCCAGTTCGTGGTATGTTCTCTCAACATTGGAGCCAGTATTGTATGAATTAACACCCTGTAATTAAGCCTGGCTCGGTGTGTCTCTCAACTAAATGCTTTGGTCATGAATTCTGCTCACAGACTACCGTGCCTAAGCAAAGGTAGAAATTCTGACCATAAAAATACACCCATCTTCTTTTGACAACCCCTAATTATCAGATCGACAGGACTCGCCTCGTGACCATCTGCTTACCCAGTCGTTTCTACTAAGCCAAACAGTTTCACGTTAAACCTTCTCTGGCATTCACTTTCTACCATCACTCGCGTAAACCTTGGTGACAAGTCTTCCAAGTCCTCTAAAACTGGCCAACGTTACCTTGTAGCACATGCTAGAAGTCGAATCCCGTCATTCTGATGCCATAAATACGCGAGATAATAAGATCAATGTTGTTGCTTGATAGAATGCATTGCTACGCGTGCCTTGAAGGAGGAGTGTATGTAATTGATATCAAGCCAGATTGCCAGGATCTACCTAAAATGAGTTTCATGATCTGAATTAATCACAAACAATTTGTGAGTGAGTAAAAACCATTGTGAGTGGTTCCAAGCTGTATGGCGGCAGTTCACCGCGATTCTTTCAGCTGTTTAGGAAACAAGACAAAAGAAATATATTATTTTGATCTATTTATTTAACAAGCAGGAAAATTTATGCTTGTGCATAAGCCCGGACAAAGGTCCAAGTCCAGTTATTGCTATGTATAAATATATAATATACAATTTACATATTGCACTTTTCAGCATGTGTGGTTTTGGAAAAAATGACAAAGTGACAAAGAAGGTACAAAATCAACAAACTCAAAAATGAAATAACAAACATAAAAGTAGAAAATAAATATAAAATACAGATGTAGAGATAAAAGTGACAAGGATCGGTGTTCCCCGAGTGTATAAAATGACTGTATAAAAATGACTGTGGGGTGAGTAAAAAGTGCTGTAAATAAGATGTCTTTGGTTTCTACGATATAAAGAACTATATACATTAAGTACGCATCTTTGCTTTGTGACGCAAAATGGGACTATGACTGCCAGTCGGCTGTCGGCTCTTGACAAAGTAATACTGTTGAGGTATTGGATATATACAAGGCATTGTTCTGGAGCTAGGTCCTTATAAGGGCAATAATATGGTGATTTGCATAAGTGAAAGTGCATCTCTCTAACACGGAGCGGTGACCAGGAGGCAGCCACGATACAGATCAAACTGGGTGTAAAAGTGTGAAAAATACTCTACTTACAAAACATTAAGTAGTAGGAAAAAATCCTAATAAATGAAATGATGGTCGCTCAAGACCCCAATTCATACGTAGGAAAATATGATATGTTTAATATGGTGAAAGAGATTCAGTTGGAGCAACTGACACAGAGTAAACACTATGTGCGAGAATACAAACGTAGGTTCTACATGCCCTATCGATGAACGCTAGGCGAAATCATTGTACAAAGGGTATATACAAATGGTAAGTACAAACCGCAGGGTGGGCTGCAGAAATTCTGCTAAAATATACAAATATTGCACGTTTCCCGACGCTTGGTACTGCTGCTCGAGAGTACGCGGAACATGTGAAAACATTCACTTCATAATGCACCAATCTGATAGAAAAATACACGTTAGATATTCACAACGCTAGAACAGGAAAGCATGGGAGTGGGACATTGCGTGGTGGAGTCGGCGCCTTTTTGATAATGTAACTGCTTTTAACAAAGAGAATTCAACCCAACAAAGCATGGTTGCATTTTATTATATGCAACGAATCCAAGAGATCGTGGGAATTTGGACAAAGAATGGATTTTTCTGCCATGTCAGATGGTTAAACAAAAGCTAACGGAAATTATCCATATTAATGTTATGAATTATAAATAACCCAATGCCAACCAGTTGCTTGCTACTAAATTACTCATAACCACTCGTGTTTGCTATTGTTGATGTTTGTTAAAGCTTCGGGGTCGGAGAGCGAGAATCGATCAGCCCCGATAATTGAGTCTGGTTTGGGAAATAATGTTACTGTAATTCAAGCGGATCAACACTAGGATAAAAAGGGGGTGAATCAAAGGCGCGCGACCGGAGGGGGTGGGGTGTGAGGGGAGGGGGTAACAATGGAGGCAATAGCATTCGTGGATGACCAAGCCCCCGTTAGAGTCGACCATATGGTCACCATTATAGAAACTCGTAACAAAGACGGTGTAACATTAACTGTCGAACACCACTGATTCAACCTAGTGTAAATATTTAAAAACAGTTTCTTCAGAAATATGATAAAACAGTCAATATAATGTACACTGTCAGATCAATGTCTACAACATATATAATCGTGTGTATATAATTAGACAAAATAGTTCTATTGCACCAAAAAAACTCTGGAAAAAACCGCACAACCTCAGTCCTTGATGCAGGCAGATTCGTAGTGTTTGTTCAGGTACGACTTGAGAGCAAACGACTTATCACAACGCTTACATTTGAAATGTTTGAAGGCTGAGTGGGTTTGCATGTGAGCCCTCAGGTTCGATCTGTCGGCAAACGCCTTGCCACAGTGGGCACATCCGAAAGGCTTCTCCCCCGTGTGGGATCGAAGGTGTCCTTGAAGCAGCCACGGTCTACTGAATGACTTTCCACACACGTCACAGGCATGTCTCAGGTTGTGAGTTAATATGTGCATGGACAGCGCGGGCATACTGACATAAACTTTATCACAATGCGGGCACTTCTTTGCTTGCTGACTGTCAAGGCTCCTGTGGGTCTGCTTGTGACGTGAAAGGTTAGACGACGTTGCGTAGTCCTTTCCACATTCGTTGCACGTGTAGCGCTGTTTGCCAGTGTTTTTCTCCGGGATTCCAACAGCGTTCCGTTTCCGAGATCGACCATCACTGATAAAGAAGGCATCGTACGTATATCCTATTGTCACACCAACGTGGTCCTTGAAGCTGTCGTCGTCTGACTCTTCGGGGATGCTCTCCGTCGCCGTCGACGTCCCGCAGTCGGGTTTGGACATAGACGCCCCTTCCATCGTCTTTTCGCATTCCCCGCCATCTTGGATCCAGACCGGAGCAATAACATCGTGAATGTAGCCTGCAAATCAAAGAATTAAACATTAGATATCGATTGTCCGCAACACAACAGGTTAGCAGAGGCAGTAGATAAATTACCCATTATTCTCACGGTATAGTTCATCGGTTCATAAGCTTATTCTATTGGAGAGCATTAAGAAGTATCTCGGCATATCGATCTATATACTCGCGATGATAATCCATCGGAATTCCTGGAGATATCTACCATCCCGCAGTGACATTAAACAATATCAAAAGCAAAGGTAATGAGAATCCTCAAAATAAGATTGTCACCTACCGTTGTTGACTCTGACGGCCAAAGGCTGAATAGCGGGAGTGTATGGGGTAGCTGCCTTGAGGCTGTCGACTGAATCGTCGTTGTAGATGTCCCTCACTCTGTAGCTGTGGTAGGAAGGCCTGTCATCGTCACTTTTGGACTTCTTCACGAGGAACGACCGTGGCATGTTTGCCGGTGATGTCGAAAGGCAGTGGTACCCAGGTTAACCGCTTCTTATAGCGGAGCTAGAGGGGTTGAACGCCGACAGATGGCCCCAGCGGTTAGCAACAATCAGATAGCGTGCTGACTGGAAGCACTTCACACATCTAGCGGTTATACTGTCCCACGAGAGAGACTATCAATAGCGGCGAAAACTGGCGTATTATCAAGCAGACCCTGCCGATCTTAGCAGCAGGTAGTAGATCTACTTGTGGGCCGGGTAACAGTTGCGCACGGCCCTTGTTGAGTCTGTCAATGACCACTATCGGTAGAAGTCTCAGCCTTCTGTCAGTAGGAGCACGCCGCGCTGAGCGCTTTCGCTGTGGCTTCGCTGACTGGTGACGAACGATCTGTAGCTGAGATGAAGGCCCTCGCTTTTTATACGCCACCCCCAATTGCACATGCGTTCAAGACGGCCTGAAGAGAATAGCGGCTCACAATGCGGCATGCGCGGTGACAAATCCGTACGCGTTTCAGTCGCTTCATCTAAGAGGCAAGAAGTGTGACAGAGTAAATTAAATTATACTCTTCCAATTCTCGCGTTTCTATTGGTCGATTCTGCTACCGATTGGAAATGATTAGAGTAAGGAAGACCTTCCTCTTCAAGAAGTGTTGACTCGCGAGCAGATCTAGATAGCGGGGGGGATAAGGACGGGTGGGTGGGGTCAGAATGCTGTCAGGGAGGTTCACGCTTTTTAGTATGTTTACGTGGACAATAATATCAAAGCCGTGAAATATTCATGGATTTGATCTCATTGACAATACTTTTTAGTACACATTACGCTTGTGTTTTATTCATTTTATGACAAATGTTTGCGGAAGAATGTGATATTTTTTCAGTGTTGTTTTATTAAATCGCTCCTTTTTTTAACTGATTTTGTCTCAGTTATTGAATTCAAACATAACACGATTCAAACAACCCTTGAACGTGATATTTAAGTATTGTTTAAATAGTTTTTAAAACCAAAGTTAAAGTTACAAGAGCACTCGTTTTTATTTTGTTCCTATCTAATTACTAAACAACTTTTCATTTCAGAACTTTGAAATATCAGGAAAACTGTAACCTCATTTGAAAGAAATGTGTATAAAACTCTTAACGTTGCTCTGAAGTGTTATGGAAACAAAGACACTGACAAGGAAATTCCTTAGCAAATTCAGAACTACTTCAACTTTGAAAAACGCCTTTAAATTATTGTAATTATACAGATCTAAATCATCAAATCGATAAGTTTAAAATAATGTACATTCCGTCCACTCCGTATTACAAATTTAAACAAATATTTTAGATTTTATAACACATGCCATACAAGTTATAAATCTACATAATACATCAACAGTATTCTTTTAACACATCTTGTGTAGATAAAGTTCCCTAACCTGGTATTTAACACAAGAACATATCACGAAATGAACCGGTCTAAGGCGACGCTCTTGATAATTCGCCCGCCGTGAATCCCCCAGTCCTCTGTTGCAGCCGGACAACAGTTCCCTGAGCTGTTGCTGACAACGACCTGTGTCCGATGTGTTGCAGTGCCCAGCAGATGACCACAAGTGTCCCGAAGGGATTGTAGGGGCGCTTCAGCCAGTAGGTTCGCGTTTACAATTTACCTCCACCGAAGGTTTACATTGAGTCGTTGCATGTGTATAAATACACATTAAATATATATAAATAAATTATTTTTCACTTTTCTCGTATTAGTGTTTTCTTTATCTCACCTGAGAGGCCTAATGGTTTTACCTAAAATATGTGTGATATGATACGGTCCATGCTAAACATTAATCAAACTGTGTTAAATATTGTTGTCTAAAATGTTCTGGATAGATACTCATGTTTTGTTTATCAAACGTGAAGAACATATTCGTGACACCTGCCATAGTGTATTGAACACATCTTCATCATAATCGCTTTTCGTTAGTTTTGGTTCTTCTTTATGTTGGTTTTATCGTAAAAGTCTGCTTCTATGTATCTGGGAGATTAGTTGCATATGGGGAGGGGGGCGGGGGTTTCTGTTAATATAACAATTCCTCATATCACTTCGTCCTAAAAAAACAGTAATTGTTTGGCATCGTTTGTGTGGGTCGAGCTGTGTACGTTCTATACAATCAGTTCCTGGTATGATATTACAAGGCTTTAACGATTTTATACGATGTTATCAATGAATAGGGAATTTTGGAGAAATGTCCTTTGTTCTTCTAACCGGATTCCCCTACATTTTGATGTAAGGAAGTAGGGAATTCCTAGCCCAGTGGTCGAAGAAATCATTCGTTACGCAAAAACAGCGTCCACTTCCACAAGCCTACCTTAGTACTGGAACTACCGTATGTGTCTGTGTTAAGCTAGGAGAGTTAAATGTGTCACTGCTCTTAGACTCGCTTTCTGTAAAGGGTTCGATTTCCGAAGTACAAATAACAAAACCAATTTATGGTGTGCTATTTCGGGAATATTGATGAAAGCCGTGTACAACAGCACTACCTTCATACTTACAGTTTAAAATAACGTATACTGGGATATTCTCTGAGTGGTTAACAAAACCGCCTTAACAATATATTTATTAACTTATATTGTGAATCGTTGTATTTTCGTATGCCTTCACTGCAGGAATAGGCGCTGTGGTAGCTTGCATGATGGTGCAGTTTACACAAGTACGGGTTCGAATCTCACATACATGCATAATCAACACCCATGGGTGCCATAGCTCAATAACTGTATAAATCGGCTTCTCACTGTCACAATATCATATATTAATCTACGGGCAAAAGCTATCGTTTCAATATATTCAAATATTCAATATACACTTCGCTTTAAGTCTTTGTATAAAACAATTCAGCCTAAAACTTGTAAATATATCTACCTATATATGCTGTGCTATTTAATGAGGCTTGTAATGTGTATAACACTACATGAATATAGCGACGTGCAACATAAAGTATACCTTTAAAAATATAATAAAATAATTTCATTTTTAAAAATTGAAAAAATAAAGTATACTCCCTTGTTTGATTGTCGCTGAAATAAAACAAAGAAGAAATGGTCATTTGGTGGTAATGTATTTGGTGCGAGTATCTTGGCTGAGTATTGGAAGTAACGTCTTCAGTGACTGTTTTCGGCTTTGTAACTTTATCCTAACTTTTGTAATTTTGGGTTCAAATCTAATTTTCAAGTGTGACCGAGGAGCAAAACAAAGCAAGAGCAAGAACTGGTGTCAGTTTAGATTATGTCTATTTAACCATCAACCATTCATGCTACAATTTGTAAAAAGTAATTTGAGGCTGGGTAATTTTGTGTAAACATATATTGGTTCAATGAAGACTCAATTTGTTAAGAAATGAATCTGCAACCACATAACGCGTACCATGTATGAAATGTAAATTTGTGCCGAAACAAAGCAAATTTTATGATTTTTAAAAATAACATGCCTAAGATAGCCATCAGGAGATGCGTGTTTTTTATTGTTAAGAAGGTTTCTTTATGCAGAAGTTTTATTTGAGTGCTGACGAAGATCCAGTAGAGTTAACTTTATTAATATAATATGGCTAACTTGTGATATTTTCACTTGAGAATTAAACATATGGTAAAATAAACTGAGAAGATTGGTTTATTTTACTCCTCAATTTCCACAAGTGTTTTCATATACACGAATCTAGCAGTCACCTAATACATTGAACACGAGGAGACAATGCCTTAGTTTCGAAAACGAAGTCATTCAACGTCTGGTCGCTACATCTTTTGCAACGGGCCGTCTCAAGCATTACGTATTGTCCACAGACCATAGTTTGTTTGTTTGTTTGTTTGTTTACCACAGATTCCTTTCCACGACAAGCAAAGATTCCGGTGAAGCTTTCCAAACCACTAGGCTCACATAGGCCCACCCAAGGGTATTGCATCTGTGGAAGGAAGATAGTCACGGATTTCATTCTTTCTATAAATCCTTTATCACTGTGAAACCCCGTTAATCCGGACGGATTAGTCCTGGAACAAAGAATCACGAATAAAGTCCCTAAACATTCAAAACAGTCATCGTATGGATTCCGGGGTTTCCAGTTAGTAAGGGATCCGGAATGTACAGGTTTCAGTATCTTAAAATATTATTTTAAGGCAGTTGTGTAAACAGTTTCATACTTGACCAGCGTACAATAGTTGACTGTGAAGTACAATGTCTCCCAGTGGAACAAGTCTGGGTATTCGTCATATTTTATAGCCTTAGAATATTATATTCTAAATACTTTTATTAAAAAGCTTCATTAAAACTTTTAAAAGTTAATGTAGACGTGTTTTTCATATCTTTGGAAGGCATTTAGAAGTGATCCACATAAGGAAGAGAGTGTCTTATGGATGTCAGCTTCTTTATTATGAGGAACACAACGTTTCAGAGTGTATCCTTACTCCTTGATCCTGAGTATGATCCGGAGGATACACTCTGAAACGTTGTGTTGCTCATAATAAAGAAGCTGACATCCATATAAACTCTTCCTTGTTGTCCAAGATATTTTTATGGATTAAACTTCTCTTTTAATTTCTCTCACGACGTTTCGAGACCATTCAAGGTCCCTTCATCACGTAAACTGGCAGTTAGGACTATGGTCTCGAAACGTCGTGAGAGAAATTAAAAAAGAAGTTTAATCCATAAAAATATCTTGGACATCAATGTACAACTTCTAAATGCCACTGAAAGACATCTCTTCCATGTGTTTTTCATATTCAAGTAATATTTTGCAAACATGAATAACGTGTTTTCGCTGAACACTGATCAAAGTCAATGCATGTCCAGACGGGCATAACGGTTCCTCGCAGACATTCTCCGAGCTCAGTCGAGGCCTGGCTTGTCCAATGGTGCCGCCACACGCAATAAAGTCGGGAGAGAAGGCATTAGACCATAACACATTTAGTAGTTTAAGGCCGGAATCATTGAAACATGTTGACAGTGGAAAACGTAGGCCATGGAGGAAGACAATACTGGCCACAATATAAGAAACCCTTTGTCAACACGACATTGTTTGTCTTTGAGAAGAAAACCGTTGTCAGGTTACAAAATAAAAATATAGGTCTCGAAAGCAGAAACTATTGGTTGCGATTTGTAGATGCGATTGGTCGTTTTTCGCTTTAAAATAAAGTGTTTCTTATCGTAGAACAAAAGGGTAGGCATCGAAGGATTAAACTATTGGTCGCAAAAGAAGAATTGATATAATTGGTCACGATGAAAACGAAATTGTTCAGTTTTACAGTGGAAGACACTGAAACAATATCCCGCGACATGGAACATCTATGTCGTCCAATCTTCACGGCGAGAAGCAACGGTATTTTCGAAACCATGCATTGTTAAATGATGGAAATGTAGTGATGGCAAACGGGAAAATATAGTAGGTGAGTTTAAACTGACTGACTGAGTTTAGTTTTACGCCGCTTTTAGCAATATTCCAGCAATATCACGGCGGGGGACACCAGAAATGGGCTTAACACATTGTGCCCATGTGGGGAATCGAACCCGGGTCTTCGGCGTGACGAGCCAACGCTTTAACCACTAGGCTACCCCACCACCCCTTGAGTTTAAACACTGTGGACAGTAGTTCAGCTGTATAACAGGTTTGTTTGTTTGTTTGTTTGTTTGTTTGTTCAACGCCACAATCAGCACATTTCTAGCTATATGACGGTGGTCTGTAAATAATCGAATCTGGACAAGACAATCCAGTGATTACTATCATGAACATCGTTCAACTGAGATACGATTGCCTCTTACGACAAGCATATTACCAATTCTAACCCGGATCTTCACGGGTTAAAGTGTCAGGTTAAAGTAATATACAGGGATCCTGGCCTAAGACTACTAGGTTGTTTTTTACCTTTCCACAAGCACAGTATAAAATCAGTAAATCAGTTATATGTCATTAAGCACGTATATTGTACAATATATGGAGACATAGTAAAAAACAAATTAAAACGACTGTTTTGATAATTCCATCCCAAAGAAAAAACGAGGGACTAGGTAAAGGTCGTGTATTTTGCTAAATACCTATGGGGGTTCTTGTCACAGTTTGAGTGAGCGATGAGGATGCATAGCACTTCCAGCGTATGCTTGTCACGCCGAAGACAAGGGTCCGAGTCCCCATATTAGTACAATATGTGAAGCTCGTTTCTGCCGTCCCCCGAGTATAATAATAGAAACATGCATATAGATATATATCTCCATCGCGTATGCATGTGGTCATTGCACAATATATTATGACACAATATCGTGAAACTAAGGTATGTATTTTTGTAATATTTGAACCATGCTTGTTTCAGTTTCTTGAAGTATATATCAATTTACTCACCTTGTCTATTTGCTATACTTCTCCTCTAAAATTGTAATTTGATACGACTGCAATGCTGTTTTGAAATTCGACATGATGGTACCAACGCTTATTATTGTGAATAGGTTTCAATGACACATCGGAAACACGTCAATCCAAGTGTGTCGGATAAAGTATAGCCATCTGCTCACATCATATCTGACCCGTGAAGGTCCGGGCTAGAATTGATCTTCAGCAACCCCTGCCTGTCGTAAGAGGCGACTAACGGGATCGGGTGGTCAGGCTCGCTGACTTGGTTGACACATGTCATCGCATCCCAATTGCATAGATCGATGCTCATGTTGTTGATCACTGGATTGTCTGGTACAGACCACATGGGTACAATGTGTGAAGCCCATTTCTGGTGTCCCCCGCCGTGATGTTGCTGGAATATTGCTTATAGCGGCGTAAAACCAAACTCAGTCAGTCAGTCAGTCTGGTACAGACTCGATTATTTACAGACTGCCGCCATATATAGCTGGAATATTGCTGAGTGCGGCGTTAAACAACAACCAAATCATATCATATATGCCTATAATAAACATAAGTGATCATGAAATCTGGACAATACTCGAGCACCTCGATCTACTCTGTTTTCTGTCACTGACCAAATTGTGTATGACAAAGGTAATACTGAGCATAACGTACACAAAGTAATACTTCCGACAATATTATTACCATATTACTATGACAACATAATCCTTTATTGTTGACAACGTTAGGTCAACAGGAACATATAACAAAGGCTTTATTACCGTGGCTTTATGACAGCGGCTTAATGACAAGGGTATGATGAAAGTGGGCATGTGATAGTTTGATGACGTCATCCCGCACTGCATGCTGACATGACAGACGTGTTATGATATTCAAATTGTGACGAGACTCAAAATTATCAACGCATCTGCAGCATGTGGAGCATGCGTGCATTATAGTCAGTTTAGTTTTACGCCGCTTTAAGCAATATTCCAGCAATATCACGGTTGGGGGACACCAGAAATGGGCTTCACACATTGTACCCATGTGGGGAATCGAACCCGGGCCTTCGGCGTGACGAGCGAACGTTTTAACCACTAGGCTACCACATAGCCCCATACGTGCATTACATAATACATGATATGATTCGATAGGGTTTTTGGGAAGTTTTTTTGTTTTTGTTGATTTTTATACCAGGAAAATACCGTAAATAAATAATATTTATATGAAAATATTAGACGCTTAAGGAAGTAGATTTAGAAAATGAACATCACTTCTGGCCCAACCAATTCAACGCCTTTTATAGAATATAGAATTTCCTAATATAGGAATACTATAGATCCTCAATATGAATAAAACCCACAAAACCTTTGCTACGTCTAGAAGTAAGCCAAGAGAAGAGTCGATTGTACTATTTCGACTACTTCCTGAGCATGTGTTTATGAGTCAGTATCAAGGAGAGATGATTCCAGAGCTAATGGTATCAAATGAAAATATGGACAATTAACGACTAGGCAAACACAATATTTTGATGTACTGATATTCTACAATGGACATAGGGTACGACTAAATCGGGAACTGAATCGGACATACCTCTTGTAGCTGATGCGTCACACTTGAAAAATCTCCGTATGTCTACCCAAAAACATTTGTGGAATGTTTTCTTAGGCTTTGAATAGGTGAGGTGAGGTGAAATTGGGTTTAACGTCGTGCTTGAGAATATTTCGCTCATATGACGACGTGCATGCGTGTGTATGTGTATGTGCGTCTGCTTGTACTAGCCCAGACTGAAGCTGGTTTTATAGTGCTAGCCCATGGAGATACCGCGCCGCAGACACATTATACTCAGACACATTATACTGACTCCGAGCCGACCAGTCCTTGCTGTACCCATTAATGCCGAGCGCCAGGCAGGGTCCAACAAGTACCATATTTTAACGTCTTTTGGTATGACGCGGTCGGGGATCGAACCCGCGACCTTCCGCTCTCCGGGCGGACGCTCTAACCACTACACCACGGAGGCGGTGGCATTGAATAGTGTAATCTGAACATTTGAACATACCACTGGCTCGTTCTCGCCAGTGGAACTAAGTAAGTGACTGGGTTCAGTCATGGCGTGCCCGTGAAGATCTGGAGTAGATGCTTGTCGTAAGAGGCGACTAACGGGATCGGGTGGTCAGGCTCGCTGACTTGGTTGACACGTCATCGTAAGGTAATGAATGGAAACTTGATCTCGTCACTATAATGGCTGGAGTAATGCCGATGTGACGTAAAGCCCAACTCAACTCAACCCAATTGCATAGATCGAATCTCATGCCGTTGATCACTGGATTGTCTGGTCCAGACTCGATTATTTACAGACCGCCGCCATACAGCTGGAATACTGCTGAGTGCGGCGACCAACCAGATCAATGATGGCGTAAATCCACCAGGTCTCTGGCACGATGGTTTACTTTTAGTCTCAGACACAGGTGAGAAATGACAGGAGGATGTCACAGTGGCATTGGTGTCACCATGTCACTGACCATGGGACCATTACATAGGAGATGAAATTACATTATGTTGTGCTGGTGACATTCGAATAGATAGGACCGTGACACAGGCAGAGATGGGACCATGACATATTGAGATATTGGAACATGACCACTAAATGAGACTCTACCATAGACAACAATATACCCTTACAGGTAATAACTCGTATGTACCAGGGTAGGACATTATTAACGTCAGGACCAGATACCTTTTCAAATACAATGTATAAGCATTTAGTTTTTCATTCATTCATTATATAACACATGGGAC